TGACTTTTTGCTATGTTTTCATATATGCTGTAAACTGCGCAGAGTGGCTAGGTAAATGCAGCCAGATAGACTGGGTATAAACAATCAAATTATTATGATTATTATTATTACTATAGAGCAGTGCTTTTTTTCTGGGGGGATGCAGGGGTACGCATTCCCCTAAACAGTTTGTGAATCTTTGTACTTTTGTCCCTTTACTGTATTTATTTTCCCCGATTTGAACTATAAAAATTGTGATTTTCTTGAGTCAAAATGAGAGTACCCCTAAACATTTTTTTAGGGGGGGGAAGCACTGCTATAGAGGCATACTGCTGCCAACATTAGAGGTACGTAGATCATAGCCATCGTGGCTAGAAGCCTTATACTCCACGAATGGGTCCAGCCCTCTTCTAAATCCATCCGCGTTGGTGGCCGCCATCACATTACACGGGAGCAACTTAGTTTAACTGTGTGGTGTTTGAAGACCTCATTTTGTCAGCCATTCAGATTCATTAGATGACTGGATGGCTTTCAAAGAGGACTAGGACAAATTCATGGAGGATCTGCTTGACCAGCACTGCCAGAGGCATGATGCATCTGCGTACCTGGGACTCCCAGGTGGGGAGAGTGGCGGTGGCCCTCAGGTCTTGCTTGTAGGCTCACCGCACACATCCGGTCAGCCACAGTGCAATCAGGATCCTGGTTTAGAAGGGCCACTGGCCTGATCCAGCAGGCTCCTGTTCTTGTGACCTTAGCATTATAAGAGAGTAGGAGAAAAGGGGAAAAAAACCTCTCCCAAGCCACTTTCTCTACAAGATTTTTAACCCCTCTATACGTCTCGGCTTACGCGTGGCATCGGTAATATAATAATAATAAATTTTTATTTATACCCCGCCCTCCCCAGCCAGAGCCGGGCTCAGGGTGGCTAACACCAGTAAAATTACAATAAAAACATAATGGGGGGGGAGCAATTTAAAATACAGATTAAAAATACAATTTTTAAAATGCAGCCTCATTTTAAAAGTAGCCCATAGATCAAAACCATAAGGGGAGGGAAACATAAGGGTCAGACTGAGTCCAAACCAAAGGCCAGGCGGAACAGCTCTGTCTTGCAGGCCCTGCGGAAAGATGTCAAGTCCCCAGGGACCAATCTCTTGTGACAGAGCGTTCCACCAAGTCGGGGCCAGTACTGAAAAGGCCATGGCCCTAGTGGACACCAAACTAACCACCTTGTGACTTGGGACCTTCAAAATGTTGTCATTTGTGGACCTTAAGGTCCTCTGCGGGGCATACCAGGAGAGGCGGTCCCTTAGGTACGTGGGTCCTAGGCCACATAGGGCTTTAAAGCTCAAAACCAGCACCTTAAACCTGACCCTGTACTCCACCGGGAGCCAGTGCAGTTGGTAAAGCACTGGATGAATGTGATCCTGTAAGGAGCCTCGCCGCAGCATTCTGCACCCGCTGGTGTTTCTGGATCAGCTTTAAGGACAATGTCTACCCCTGAACAGCAGCAGCAGCTCTCTGGAGTCTACAGCAGAGTTCTTTTCCAGCACATTGGTCTTGAGGCTCCAGAAACTGAGCTCAGAACCTTTCCCTTTCAAGACCTGGGAGAACTAAGGCAGCTTTTCCATCACATTCAAAAATGAATAATGCTGATTCTCGTTCTTACACATCTTATATGGACGCGACAACCGTTAACTAATGGGTAGGGGGCAACGGGGATATCCTAGAGGGAACACTCCTCATATTATTGTACATGAGGCCTTCCAGAATAATATCAGGAGGTGGACCCATTCCTTCGCATGTACAAATCCAGTCCTTTCACCGAAGTTGATTCAGCAGTCCCTGCAAGAGAGGGATTGGGCTCCCAAGGCTGTAAACATATTTTTTTTTATTTGGGCCAAATGTCTGCGTCTTTTCCACAGAGTCATCAATGTCATGCCTTGTTGAGACCAAAGGGCTGTTTAATTTCATCAGGCAGGATTCTCCCCTCTCCTTGCAGAACATTTAACTAGGCCAAAGGTTACGACACGGCCAGGTCTCTGCCGGATCAATGATTGACAGCACTGAATCACCAAGTAGTGGTGACCTGACCCTTCCGAAGAGCAGAAAGGGGCCAACTTTCAGTTCCAGCGGCAACATCAAGAGACCCCATTAACTGCCTCCCTCCCCCATCGCAAGCTCAATGGGTGGACCAAGGCCCACAGAGGGAGTGGGGCTCAAGTGCAGAGTTGCTCTCCTTAACACCTGAATGAACAGCAGGGACCTTTCCCCCTCTCTGGCAACTCTATGTGTTATTCTGCCGTGCACCTGAAACTCACATGATGCAATCGCATGACAACCCCAGAGGGGTCATAGTTTAATACTAGCATGGTGCAAGCCAAGGGTCAAGAGCGTGAGCAAGAAGAAACAGCGAAGACATTCGGGAGCCAGAGCAGTGAAATGACTTATATTTTCTCCACGCTGTTCTTGACAATGTCCTGAAGATGATCTGTAGAGCTGGAAGGAACCCCAAGGCTCAACTAGTCTTGATTCCCAGCAATGCAAGAATCACAGCTAAAAGGATCCCTGACAGATGGCCACCTAGCCTCTCTTGATAAACCTTCAGTGAAGGAGACTCCACCACCTTCCAAGGTAGTCTGTCCACGGCCACACAGCCTGTGGTGTAGCGTGGGCAAGGCTGGGAGAAACCATCACCCAGGGCACAATCTGAGGATGTCACATTCCTCACAATGCCCTGATGCGTCACGAGCTGTTGCGTCCTTCGCACATCGCCCTCCAGTTGGAGGGCACCTTGAGAAGGACGCAACAGCTCACAGCGCCCTGAGAGACCTGCACAGTTTTGATGAGTCTCACAAAGCAGCGCTGGGCTCTCAGGTACGTCCCTCAAAGCAGGGCCATGTCAGCCGGCCAGACTCCCCACTGGGCAGGTGACACAGCATGGTCCTGTTTAGGTCCAGTGGGCGGGGGTCGCTCCGGCCGTGCCCCCTGCCTCCACAGCACACACATCCATCCCAGCTACCAGTGGGGAACACTCTGCCACTGCACACAGCTCTTACTGTCAGAAAGTTCAGGGCTGATTTAGCTTTCCCATTTGTAGTCTCTCTCTTTCTCAACTGGCATTTAATCCCAGGCGGGACCCCTCCATGGTGAGAACTATCCATTTAATCCTACTGTGATTTCCTGTTCTTGGATCTAGGTGTACTCATTATTCATGGTGCATCTTAAGGTCCTCTGTGCAATCCCGTGGGCTGGAAACTCTTTCTGACAAACTCAACAAACAGGGACGCTTCTCGTTTTAGCAATCCTTCTCAGAAACCCCATACAATATCCTGTTCGTTTCCCAATTCTTGTGCCAGCCGCCCAATTACTTAAGCCTACGTGGGATCAGAATTTTGAGTCATCTGCCTTTTGTTCCGTTTGACGTTTGCGCAACCAGGTGAGTGCAAAATTGGGGTGAGAATTAGCACAGTGGGGAGAGCAGGAAGCTCAGCACGGAGAGATGGGTGCAAGTGAGCACTTTTATATTGCCAGGAACAAAGAATGCTATGCTGTCCAATATTCCTGAGATGAAAATAGGGGCATTTCTCACTAACCTCCCCCCCCCCAAAAAAAGGATGAGTGCCACCACCACATGGAACACAGCACACTTTCCATTGTCCTGAGAAAAACCCTTAATCCCCATTTAATTTTATTGTTTTGTAGTTTTACAAAAGGAAAAAACACACACATGCCAATAAATAAATTTTAGAAAGGGTCAAGATTAGATGCGGATGCACGAAGCACTTTTATTTTATTTTAAATCAAGACTCCTTGTGCTCCTCTCCTCCTTTCTTCCTGGAAAGCAGACGGCAGAGAAAAATCTCAGTTCTTTTTGACCAGGGGTGGCGAACCTGTGGTCTTCCAGATACAGCTCCCATCAGCCCCAGACCAGCATAACCAGTGGCCTGGGAACATGGGAGTTGTAGTCCAACACTATTGGGTGGGCCAGAAGTTGCCCAATCCTGTTTCAGACCCGTTGCTACCCAGTATGACAGTGAAGTTGTTTCTCCCAAGCAGATGCATGGTCAAAGAAACAAACAAACCAGAGAATCCTAGAATTGACAGGTGACCATGAAGCGTCTTCTGTAACCTGTGCTCACTTGCTCGAACCATTAGGATTTGGTTTTATTGCCTTCAGTGCTGATGTGGTGCACCTTAAATGCTCATGCTCTTCACCTCTGGTGCAACCAGACATCCTGGATGATGTACAGTGGTACCTTGGTTCTCAAATGCCTTGGTCCTCCAACAACTTGGAACCCAAACACTGTAAACCCGGAAGGAAGTGTTCCAGCTTGTGAACTTTTTTCAGAAGCCAAATGTGCTCCATTTTACGATACGATATCTTTATTGTCATTGTCCCATACAGAACAATGAAACTGAAAAATCTACATAAGCCATTCAAAAACCCCTAAAAACTCTGAAACCCCATTTTAAAATACAATATACTATAGAGACTCCTTATGCTGCGTTTAGAACCAGAATTTGCATTTTGAGTGTTACACTGAGGTCTGTCTGTTTTTGCTATTTATTTTGCATTTTTGTTTTGCAGCTCTTTTTTGTTTTGTTCTTGTGACTGTGTGGAACCCAGTTCAGCTACTGATCGATTGATTGTATGACTGCAGTACATTGTTTATTGCTTTCATTTTATGGATCAACGGTCTCGTCAGATAGTAAAATTCATGTTAAGTTGGTGTTTTAGGGGGTGTTTTTCAAAGTCTGGAACGGATTAATCCATTTTGCATTACTTTCTATGGGAAGGCACGCCTTGGTTTTGGAAGGCTTTGGTTTTGGAATGGACCTCCGGAACGGATGAAGTTTGAGAACCAAGGTACCACTGTAGTCCATTTCTTTGGGTAGGTAAAGTCATTGGAAATTGCTTTATCCTGAGTCATCACTCCATCTAGCCCAGTATTACCCCTACAATGACTGGCAATAGCCCTCCAGAGCTTCAGCCGAAATCCTTGCCCAGCCCTGTTGTCTGGCAATGCCAGGAATTGAACCTGGGACCGTCTGCATCCAAAGCACGGGCTCTGTCTCCTGAGCTATGGTCCTTTTTCTTGGTCCTGCCACCTTTGACCTAGATAGCCTTGCTGCTATTCTACTGCTGCTACTCTAGGACTGGTACTGGAAAGCCCAGGATTAAAGAGATGCCTCAACTAATCTTCCTCCAAGGTGGACCATTCCCTGACCATCTCCTGCCAGATAAGCATAAATATACTGGGAGATGTTTGTGGAGAGGCAGTTCAGTAGACTCCTTCTTGGCTTTGTTATTGTCTGCTGGAACATCCTTGAGAGAAGACTTGAGGCGTTATTCGTTTATTCGTTTATTTACATTTTGTTAGTCAACCTCATGTGTTTTTCAACGTGGAAGTTGCCCTCTGAACTACCACAGTAGCTTACTCCCATGCAATGCTATCTTCAACCCTTCTCTAAACCAACCCTACAAACCCAGAAACCATCACCGTGCCCAGCGATAATAGCCTAGCAGGGACGCAGAACCTGTGGCCACCCAGACGTTGCAGGTCTACAACTCCCATCATCCCCTGCCTGCTGGTTTTGCCAGCTGAGGAGGATGAGGGTTGGGAGTCCAGCCACACCTGGAGGCCACAGGTCCCACACCCTTGAAATAAGCCTTTCTCGTTCACCCACAGAGTATGATATGGGAGTGGCCACCCCACTGAGGTCCTCGAGCAACACCCAAAAAGCTCATTCAGGCAGGGGTTTAGGATCTCTCCCCAGATGTTCCTGGTTCAGGCTGAGCCTGGGAATGCTCCCTTGTTTCCACACGAGAAGGTTTGGTGAAGGCGTCCCCCTGCGCTGCTGAGGCAGGCTTCATGGTGTACCTGGTGCTGATGGTGCGGCCAGACACACACCGGTACTCTGCATGCTCTTTCCTTTCCTTCCCATTCTGGCAGATGGTCAGCTCCACCGGCACCGAGGTGGTGGTCTCCTTCTTGACCACGTGGATCGTGAGCTGGGTGCAAGGAGGGATCTTGGCAGGCAACATAACCTCCACCTTCTCGCTGGTGGTGGTCGACTCGTGCTTCCCTTTCTCCACCGCCAAGACGTTGGCACCTCCCACGGTGACCTGGAAGGAGAAGCCGAGCTTCAGGGACGTGGTGTTGCTGAAGTGGAAGCTCTGGATGACGGTGGCGTTGTACTCCCGGCAAGTGTTGGCGGTGAACGCTTGTTCGTACTCAGTGCAATTGGTTCCCACAATCTCATCGATCAGAACGTCCTTCTCGTCCTCCACTTTCTTCTGGTCCCACAGGAGTTTGGCGGTGACGATGGGGCGGCCGGCCTGCAGGGGGCGCAAGTGGGACAAGCTGTCGTCAAAGTCGAGCTCTGTTTTGTAGTCGTGGACACGCTCCCCGGGCCAGGCGATGTGGTACCACCCGCCACGGTTCGGGTGCTTATACAGGAGCCAGGCGCCACTCTGCACCACGTGGGAAGAGACCCGGTCGTTGAAGTAGCCGTAGGTGAGGTTGGTTTCTTCCTTCACCACTTTCTTCTGTCCCTCATAGTTGGGGAGTTCGTAGAGGGTGATCTGGGGGTCGGAGAGATCGTAGTGGACCAGCCGGAGGGAGGAGATTTTGTTGTTCTTATCAATCTCTGCGTAATCCCCTTCCTCAAAAGCAAAGCCATCGCCCTCAAACTTGGAGGCTTTGTAGGCGACCCAAGGCTGCCCAGTCACCTTCAGGGAGGAGATGCAATCACCAAAATCCAGGGCGTGAAGGTCAGGGATGTCACAGGTGAACTCTTTGCTGAGCCCCTGAAAATTGGCCTTGTCGTACACAATTATCTTGTTCACGCTGGGCTGTCTGGCAGACATCGCAACCTCTGCAGGAGCGTCTCCCATGGCAAATGGGAGTCAGAAACAGTGGTGTTGCCCAAGTATCCACTGCGAGAAGGGAAAGTGGAAAGATTTACTTTCTTGGTTCGATTGTACCAATTTCACATGGAAACAAAGACCTTTGCATGCATCTGCATGGGGCGACTTTTCTCCCTCTTCCTCCAAATCCTTCTAAAAATAATAATCTTATGTTTTTGGTGAAAATAGAGCCGCATTCATGCCATACATTGAAAGCATTATGATACTACTTTAAACACTATTGCCTTCCCTCAAGGAATTCTGGGAGCTGTGGTTTGTTAAAGTTGTTAGGAGATCCCTATTCCCCTCACAATTCCCAGAGTTCCTTGTGAAAAGAAGAGGACTGCTAAACTACTCTGTGAGGGGAATAGGGATCTCCTAACAACTCTCAGTACCTTTAACAAACTACAGCTCCCAGAATGCTTTGGGGGGAAGCCACAAGTGTTTAAAGTAGTATCATAATGCTTTCAATGTATGGCGTGAATGTGGCCTTAGTCCTCACCCCTAACTGAAATACAGTGGTGCCTCAGGTTAAGTACTTAATTCGTTCCGGAGGTCTGTTCTTAACCTGAAATTGTTCTTAACCTGAAGCACCACTTTGGCTAATGGGGTCTCCCGCTGCTGCCGCACCGCTGGAGCACGATTTCTGTTCTCATCCTGAAGCAAAGTTCTTAACCTGAGGTAATATTTCTGGGTTAGCGGAGTCTGTAACCTGAAGCATATGTAACCTGAAGCGTATGTAACCTGAGATACCACTGTACACCCATTTGTAACTGAAATGTACAAAAGTGCAAAAGCCCTCATCTGTTGTTACCTTTGCCACCATTCCCACCCAACTGTCGTTGTCTTTTTCCGTTGTCAGTAGACAGACAGGATTAAGATATTTTATGTTGCAGCAGCATCTAGGCTCATTGTACCATAAACTGAGATTACATTTCAAACTGTCCTCTCCATTCAGTACATGCATCAAACTTTCTTCTGTCAACATACCAGATCTAAACAGTTTCCATGGACTTAAAAAAAGAGATCAACCAGCCAAGATGACACACAAATTAACATATCATTGAAGTGAAGCCAATAGTATTGATGGGAGAGAAATTTGATTAAGTTCTCATGCAAAGGCAAATCTACCTAATACACAAATCAAAACACAGTCATCCTCTGAAAATTCACACTTCTCTGAATTTTGCAACACAGCTCTCGGCTGAGGAACGTGTGCAAGTATGTGAATGCTAAAGTGTGCATTGAAATGCATATATTAGTGAAATAAGAGGCAAAAATGCATTGTTTTAGGGAACATTTTGGAGGTCCCAGGACACAAGGTGGTTAGATTGGTCTCAACTAGGTACAGGGCCTTTTCAGTACTGGCCCCAACTTGGTGGAACGCTCTGTCACAAGAGACTAGGGCCCTGCGGGACTTGGCATCTTTCCGCAGGGCCTGCAAGACAGAGCTGTTCCGCCTGGCCTTTGGTTTGGACTCAGTCTGACCCTCATGTTTCCCTTCCCTTATGGTTTTGATCTATGGGCTACTTTTAAAATGAGGCTGCATTTTAAATTGCATTTGAACCTGTATTTTAAATTGGGATTTTTTTCCTATTATATTTTTACTGTAATTTTACTGGTGTTAGCCATCCTGAGCCCGGCTCTGGCCGGGGAGGGTGGGGTATAAATAAAATTTGTTGTTGTTAACATTGCAAAAATATGTATATTATGAGAAAATTATACTAATATGCTGGCGAATGTCCATGTTGGCTTAAAAATAAATAAATAAATCACAAACTCGAGGAAACAGGAAACTGAGAGAAACTGAAATGGTCAGTTTCACCCATTCCTAGCCCACAAATACTGATCGGATGGCTCAACGCACAGAAATAATAAAATAATTATTTTTTAAAATGTGGATGCGAAAGAATTGCTGGTTTCACAGCTAAGAGCCAGTTGGGCCTTCCCTTTAGCAGAGCTGGCGAGGATGGGCCCTGCGTCCAATTATTGGGACCAAATCAAAGCGTGTGTAGAAAGGGGATGCGGGTGGCGCTGTGGGTTAAACCACAGAGCCTAGGGCTTGCCGATCAGAAGGTTGGCGGTTCGAATCCCCGTGAGGGGGTCAGCTCCCGTTGCTCAGTCCCAGCTCCTGCCAACCTAGCAGTTCAAAAGCACGTCAAAGTGCAAGTAGATAAATAGGTACCGCTCCGGCGGGAAGGTAAACGGCATTTCCGTGCGCTGCTCTGGTTCGTCAGAAGCGGCTTAGTCATGCTGGCCGCATGACCCGAAAGCTGTATGCCGGCTCCCTCGGCCAATAAAGCGAGATGAGCGCTGCAACCCCAAAGTCGGCCATGACTGGACCTAATGGTCAGGGGTCCCTTTACCTTTAGAAAGTGGAGAGACACATATTTTCTCTCCTGCTTTCCTAATGCTAGAACTTTTTTTGCTATCTAACGAAGCTTTGTGCCATCTCATGAAACACTGGAAATTTCAGGACAGACCTATGTACTCACTCCTGCAATGGCTCTCTCCTCCGTCCACATTTGGAGGCAACGCACCTTTGAAAACCAGCAATCTTGCCTGGAAGAGTGCTGTCGCACTCAGGATCTGCTTACAGGCTTCCTGTGGACAAGGGTGAGAACAGGAAGCTGGGCTTGACAGGCCAGTGGTACCTCGGGTTACGTACTTAATTCGTTCCGGAGGTCCGTTCTTAACCGAAAACTGTTCTTAACCTGAAGCACCACTTTAGCTAATGGGGCCTCCTGCTGCTGCCACGCCGCAGGAGCACAATTTCTGTTCTCATCCTGAAGCAAAGTTCTTAACCTGAGGTACTATTTCTGGGTTAGCGGAGTCTGTAACCTGAAGCGTATGTAACCTGAAGCGTATGTAACCCGAGGTACCACTGTATAAGCTTCTGCTTCACAGCCCCGTTTAGGGAAGCTTTTAATGTTTAATAGGTTATTGTATTTTAATACAGTGGTACCTCGGGTTACATATGCTTCAGGTTACATACACTTCAGGTTACAAACTCCGCTAACCCAGAAATATTACCTCGGGTTAAGAACATTGCTTCAGGATGAGAACAGAAATCGTGCCGTGGCAGCGGGAGGCCCCATTAGCTAAAGTGGTGCTTCATGTTAAGAACAGTTTCAGGTTAAGAATGGACCTCTGGAACGAATTAAGTTCTTAACCCGAGGTACCACTGTCATTCTGTTCTTATGCTATGCTGCTTTTTAAAAAATCTAAATTACTGAGCTGTCAAGGAAGCAGCAGGGTTGTGGCGCAGGCAGGGAGACACTTTTGTGCTATATCTAATGATCAGGTAGGGTTGCTCTGTTTCCAAACGTAAAGACCAGAACACCCTGAAAGTTGTTTCCCCCCCCAAAAGAAACCACTTATATTGTTGAGCAAAAAAAAAAAAAAAGAGGATTTTTTTGATTGACTTGCCTAAGATGCAGACGTCAATCCTGCCTTTGAAATCCCAGTAATGTCTGGGACAATCCAGACGTCTGGCAGCCCTATGATTAAGACTACTGAGCATGGGAGGGGAAGGGTAGTCAAGTAATGACTAGCAAATCGTTCAAAATTGCCTCTTGAGGGGACTGCATAGGAGTCAGGAAGGAGGTAAAGGCTTACTAGCTGTTGCAAACGGCTCACTATCACCTTCTTGAGAGTTTCCTGGAACATCTGGTTGGCCATTTTGGGGAGACCAAAAGGCTGCGCTTGGTACACACTCTTGGCTGATCTTCCCATTTTCTAAAAGGATTCTGCCCGCAATAACCCTGTAGCAATGATGCAGCCGAATACATTTCACCAGAGAGGAAGGTGATCTGAGCCTTGTGACAGATGTGAACCCGTTCCCCCTGTATTGCAATGCTTGGATTGAAACAGTCTGGATATCTTCTGTGTTGCCACTTCGGCTACAGACACAGCACACTTCTGAAGCACCTTTAAATCTCTCCCCTCCCAGAAAGGAATAATGGGAACTGCAGCTTACTCCTGGCACAGAACTACAGTTCCCAGCACCCTTAAAGATAAAGGTCTTTATCCATTAGGTCCAGTCATGGCCGACTCTGGGGTTGCAGCACTCATCTTGCTTTATTGGCCGAGGAAGCTGGCGTACAGCTTCTGGGTCATGTGGCCAGCATGACTAAGCCACTTCAGGCGAACCAGAGCAGCACATGGAAACGCTGTTTACCTTCCCGCTGGAGCAGTACCTATTTATCTACTTGCACTTTGACGTGCTTTCGAACTGGTAGGTCGGCAGGAGCTGGGACCGAGCAACGGGAACTCACCCCGTTGCGGGGATTCGAACTGCCAACCTTCTAATCGGCAAGTCCTAGGCTCTGTGGTTTAACCCACAGCGCCACCCGCGTCCCTTAGCAAACTATAATTCCCATGATTCTTTGGGGCAGACGCTGCTTTAAATGTATGTTGTTTGCAAAGCCATGTAGATTTACAACCCAATAAGCTTAGGGCTCCAAGGAAGAAACCAACCTACTCTTTCGCAGATGTTGAAGGCTCAACATATCAGAGCCAGTTTCACCTATTACATTACCAATGTTAGCCGCGTGGCACCCCTGAACTCAGGACTCCAGTTAATTTCTAGGTGGAAAGAAGTGAGGCCGAATGCCATCCCCCACCCCTTGCTTTGGGTCAACAGATGCAAACGCAGAACCCAATTTATTGCACCCCTTTTAAGTTTTGGAAAATGTAAGCACCTTGCGTGGGAGAACACGGGCATGTCACAAGAAGCAGAAATTGGGATATGATCACGGTAGTGAAGCATTCAGACAACCATGTCTCCCTTGATTCAGAGGGCTATAACAGAACTACAGTCGTACCTTGGTTTTCAAACAGCTTACTTCTCGAACGTTTTGGCTCCCAAAAGCCACAAACCCGGAAGTGACTGTTCTGGTTTGCAAACTATTTTTGGAAGCCGAATGTCCAATGGGGCTTCTGCAGCTTCTAATGGGCTGCAGGAGCTTCCTGCAGCCAATCAGAAGCCGTGCTTTGGTTTCCAAACGTTTTGGAAGTCAAACGGACTTCCGGAACGGATTCCGTTCGACTTCCGAGGTACGACTATACTTCCCCCCCCAAGCCACTACACACCAAAAAATGTATCATATTTATCCATAGCCTTTTAACAAATTTGTTGTGGCATTTTTTGTGTGTGGAACAGAGCCTTTTTGAAGTACAGTGGTACCTCGGGTTACATATGCTTCAGGTTACATAAGCTTCAGGTTACAGACTCTGCTAACCCAGAAATGGTGCTTCAGGTTAAGAACTTTGCTTCAGGATAAGAACAGAAATTGTGCTCCAGCAGTGCGGCAGCAGCAGGAGGCCCTATTAGCTAAAGTGGTGCTTCAGGTTAAGAACAGTTTCAGGTAAAGAACGGACCTCCAGAACAAATTAAGTACTTAACCTGAGGTACCACTGTAAACTATATAAGTGACGTAAAATATTCCTAGGACACATTCACACAACCGCAGAAAATGCAGGTTACGTGGCTGCACAGGTAAACCCAACTCAACCTCATGCTGAGCACATGCCCCAAAACAATATTTACTGCACCGATGCTCTTGGCTACTTTCCACTGACTCGGGAAATGTGTGTTAGGTTTCGAGCCGGATAAGTTCATGAGCAATGACCTGACTACTTCCCTGGATGAGCAGCAGATTCCTCACCCTGCTTGAGTTTCCAACATGCCAATTTGGGTGTGTGAGTAAACCAAGCCATCTTCTTGGCACTATCCACCTTGGCTGGTTCTCACCCGAGGGCGCCAAGAAAGCCTGGCGAGGCAACTTATGGTAGTTTGAAACAGGTCATCAAGTAATAAACCTAATGACTGCAGGATTAGTATGCCCCAAACTCCCACTTGGTTCCCTGTCCCAGAGGCTCAGAGTCAAGCATGAGGCAGGCAATGGGTATGCTACAACAGCAGCAAGAATACTCATTGCAAAGTATTGGAAGACACAAGATCTACCCACACTGGAGGAATGGCAGATGAAAATGATGGACTACATGGAATTGGCGGAAATGACTGGCAGAATCCGTGACCAGGGAGAAGAGTCGGTGGAAGAAGATTGGAAGAAATTCAAAGACTATTTACAGAAATATTGCAAAATTAATGAATGTTAGAATGATGTTGGATTGAAGTTAAGTGGTTTCTAGCTGTACAGGCACAAAAGAATATGGAAAAATTGGTTTTTAATATGTAAAATGTAAAATTTAAAGTTACAATATATCAAGATTAAAGATTAGGATTAAAAAGGAGGGAAAGGAATTGTTGGATTAACATATTTAATTAGAATACAAAAGAGGGAGGTAAGAGGAGGTCCGGGAAACAAGTAAACGTAAAAGAAGTGAGGAAAAGATGAAATTGTTTTTAATTGTTTTTTCTTTTTTTCTTTTGTATTTTTTCTTTTCATTGTTAATTTTTTCTTTACTAATGTGATTTTTTTTTCCTTTGAAACTTTAATAAATATTATTTTAAAAAAAAAAAAGAGGCAGGCAATGGGTTTGTAAAACAGCAGAAAGGAAGACCAAACTGAAGTTACTAAGTGCTCCCACCACCAGGCACCTAAGTCTTCCTCTCCCATCAGGGATCGAACGCTCTATCGTTGTGTTTTAACTGTTGTAATAATGACGATAACAGCACTGGTTCTCTCGGTTTTCCATTTTTCCAATAACAAATTCAGTTTTCCACATTCCAGCAGCAAGTTTGCAATTAAGAAAAATAACCCTCTTGAAAATCCATCAGTGTTTTAGATTGATTTTCTCCCAGTACACACATTTCGGGGTAGCTTTGACTAATGTAACACATTCTGGCAAGCAATTTTCATGAGCATATTCATTTTCATGCAGGACTTTCCCTAATATATATTTTTTTTGGGGGGGGGGGGGTAAAACATCGGTTGGATGAGTGCATTGCAAAATTCAGATACATGCAAATTTCAAAAGGATGGTTAAGTTTCAGTTCAAATCTCAAATGCAGATTTGATAGATTCACCTTTGAATGCGAACTGAGTTGAGTTTCTCTTCCATCCCTACTTCCAATATACTATTTGAAATTATAGTTGTGGGTGTGTGTGAACCAATTCTTTTCCCACTCTCTCCCTCTTCCTTTCGCTTTCAAGTAACTACACAACAATGCAGAGAGCTTCTCAATGAGGTGGCAGTGAACTATAGTTGGTTCGGTTAATTTCTCTGCAGCCAAAGAGCAAAATTATTATTATTATTATTATTTAAAGTTTTAAAAAAATATTTCCTGCATTTAACAAAGGCTCAAGATACTGGTTTCCTAAGCTTCTTTCGCTAAAATGATACACAAACGTAATCACTCCCTCTAATACCAAACTCAGGGTGGGGTGGGTGCCGACAAAACTGTATCTAAAATAGCACCACCGAGAAGCAGAAGGGTGGTATAAGCACGCTCAGAGGAACACGAAGTTTGCATTATTATTATTATTTTAAATTGGGATGGGTGAGGACCAAGCTTGCTCAGGAGTCATGGTTAAAGTAAAATTGTCTGTTTGCACACTGTGCTTGTAAATTGTAAACAATGCTGAAAACCCTAATAAGCTATAAATAACAAAAACAGAAATTGGGGGTGGGTGGGGTGAAAGATTCCACCCTAGAGAACGGCATAGCTGGATGGTGGAACCCCAAACAGAGCATTCCTGTTAGGTGAGGCTACCCTGCAACATTTTGTTGCAGATCCCACTCGTATGTCCTGTTTTTAGGACTTATATCCCTGTGCTGTTCTCCCTCTCTTCTGCGGTACACGTTGCCCAAGTGTTCTGAATGCTGTGAAAGCTGAAAACCAGAACGATCTACATCAAGGAGAACATTTCCGCGCATGTCAAAAGTTGACACAGAACAGTGATTAAGCCCATCACCTACAAACTAGAAGCCGCTGGTCCAAATCTCAGCAGCGATCTTAATGTGGGAGGGAGCATGCAAAACTTGGCATCTCAGCTCTTTCACCCTGCGCTCAAAGCATAGCTGTCAACCTTCCCTTTTTTTGCAGGAAATTCCCTTATTCCAGCGCCGTTTCCCGCTGCTAACCCAGATTGTTGGATATCCCGTAAACTATCCCCAGGACAGGTGAGGCTGCTGATCCCTTATTTTCAAATCTGAAAGTTGACAGCTATGGCTCAAAGAATTAATCGAGATTACTCTAATATTGTACTCTATGAATCAGAGAGAAAAATAACAAAATGCAAATGGCTGGGTAAATTTGGATGGTTCCTTTGCTGCGGAGTAAGCGATCCTGCGTGAAAATCACCAGGCTGAATTAGCCAGACTGTTAGCAACCCACCACAAAGTTCGCAGGAAACCCTCTCCCCACCCTTAAACCCCATTTTAGGTAGGTGGCGTGGCTTACCCGAGACGACTGGCATCAACAGCTTTGTGCCTTAAAAAATGACAGTCCCAGCACAAGAAGTGTTTATATCCCCGTGTTACAAACACACCCCTTTTAAATGGAGCGTTGAAGGCTGGGCTTTGATCTTGTCAGGACCTGAAGAGCAAAACTACAGGTTTTATCTGCCTCACGCCAACAGCAGACACATCCCACACATCTCGGGGAGCCAGATTCTCCCTCGCCCTGGGCGTGCAACAATCGTGTCACACAAACTCTTGGCCACTTCCTTAGCAGGGCGACTACCACAGATTGCGGTAGGCTTGGCTTGTGACCTCGTCCCAACTTTTCCACCCCTCCCACCGGACGCTACCCCAGCGAAGGCTCTAGGGACAACTCCCTCAGCTTCATCAACCTGTGTGCAACCACAGATGATTAAGAACAGGTTGAATCAGTCTCAAAAGCTTGTGCAACTCCAAGTCAATCACTGCAGCTGTTTCCAGGTGTTCTTGCAACACCGCCAGTTAATTCCCTTCACACCCTTGGGAAGGTTTACCACTGCAACTTTGAAGGAAGCAGGAAAGGCTTGACGCAGACTTCCAGGTTGCAAGAGACCAAACTTGCTAGCCCAGAGTTTGGTCAGAGCACATCAAGCTTTCCCATGCTATGAATTACAGCATGACATGGCGCTTAATGTGTCAGGCAAGGGATCGGGAGACCTGGGTTCAAATCCTCACTCGGGCACAAGGTTCACCAGGTGACCTTGAGCCAACCACCATGCCTCAACCCAACCTCCATTTCTTGGTGTCATTCGAACTCAATGCAAGGGTGCTCCTCAGCTGCAAAGCAACCCTTAAACTCATATACCCACAGCTTTGATATGGTGGCGGCGGGTACACATGCAGCACCAGAAAATTCAGTGCTGGATTATAAGTTAAACGAGCTATAGCTTAAGACCCCACTCTCTTAAGGCCCCCCCCAAAAAAACTAAAGGGGGGGGAAAAGCTGAATGTACATTTCCAAAATATAACAAACAAATAAAACGAAACCTACACACAGCAACAGTGTTTTGTGTTGTGTAGGCCCCTATAATGTAAGTAATGGGCCCCGCCTGCTAGCCTGCTCCCTAAAATATCACTGGTTTGCTCATTTCTAGATATAGGGTGCCTACATTCTGCATGTGCAAGTGGCTTCAGATACCTATTAGGTCCATAAATTACCATATAGCATATATTCAACACAAAAAACAGCGACAATTTGTTGTTGACAAAGGACAGCTGGACATATAAAGGGCCCCATTAATACCTTCAGTAGCTTAGGGCCTCATCAAACCTAAATCCAGCCCTGCCAGAAATTCAGAGCGCTGCGATTGATCAACTGCACGTAAGAACGAAAGACAAGATTTGCTTCTTTTTTCTTATAAAAAGTTTATTTAATCCCGGAAAGGGGCTTGGTAGATGATGGAGCCCACGACGGGCGAGGCACTGTGTCATGTGGTTGCACAAATGTGCACGGGAGGCAGTAACAAAATTCACACACACACACAAATCCACAGATATGGAAATCAAATCCTGAACTGGCATATAAATAATTCTTCAGCAACATTGCTCAGAGGTAGCAGGCTCAGAAAGCGATGCTGGCATTTTCCCAGGCTGGAATCTGACGGCTCCCATCTCCCTTGGCTAGCACTCTGCTTGTGCCAGTATGCCTAAGGCAGTATTAGAAACCATTGCAAGGCTGGCTCAACTCACCAGGGGTCTCACACTGGTGTGCGCGCGCAGAGATCTACACAGGCACTTGCTGGCTCGCCCCTGAGGGATGTATGCTTTATTCTGGCAAGGGAAGCATCGTCCTTAGTGTGCGTGTGAGGGGGGAATAGTCTTGTTGCCACACTGAGCCCTGGAAACACCTGCAGAAAGTTTCTTCACTGCTTCCCAAAGGTCTTCAGGATAGTGGGTTGAGCTCTCGCTCTCCTTTCCAATGTAAGAACTGGAAAAAGGAAGCTACCCCTGGATCTTGAACACGGTGTGGCATCATGCAAGACCCTTGACTCTTTCGTACTGCAGAGGGGCAGGTTTGTGACCAGCACGCAATAGGTTTGCTTCTTAAGGCTGGCTGTGATTTGTGGATACCTGGCTAACGAGGACATAACTAGATGAGCATCCAGGGCCACCTCACACCATGTGTTTAAAGCACTATGATACAACCATGGTTTCCCCCCCAAAAGAATTCTGGGAGCAGCAGTTTAAGGGGTGGAGAGAGTTGTTCAGAAACCACTAGTCCCTTCACAGCGATTAAATCCCTCTTCCTAGGAAACTCTGGGAACTGTAGGGGAATTGGGGGTGGAACAACTCTCAGGACCCTTAAACTGCAGCTCACAGGATTCTCTGGAAAAAGCCATGAATGTTTATAAGCATATCACGGTGCTTGAAATACACAGCGTGAATTTGGCCTAAGTCAATTCACCATTGTCAGATTTAGTGGCCCCTGGCGCTAATATCTGCCTCTCCTCCTGTGATTTGGCAAAAATAAATTCTACAGTGATCGGAGGAGAGTTGGGCTAAGAGAAGGGCGTTGATCCACCACTCAGGCTTGAATCTGCCAGAGGCTGGGCCCCACTAGCTATCCTTAAAAATACATATCCCAGATCCTCTCTGGGGCCAATGCAAGGAGCTGACAAAGGCCCTGTCAGCACTCTTTCGAAGAACAACCTCCCATTAAAAAGACAAGAAAGCATTGGCCTAATTATTTCAGGTGCCCCCAAGGGAAACATACTTCCAAGATTCAGAGTCAATGCTATAGGCTCCTGTTGTTCTCTCAGATTCCAAAGCACACGCACACACACACATGAAGGTGAGGAGACACTCAACCTGTGGCTGAATGAGGATTTGTTCAGATTCAGAAAAATATTTGTGGCGCCATCCGGCCTGCTTCTCTGCTAATAAAGACCTCACATTTACAGGCTACCACTTGGGTGGACTGGGATCAGAGCCACTGGGGGGGGCGAGGGGGGGGAGAAAAGAAAACAACACTCTGCTGCAGCCACAAGCAGAAGACCAAACTTCAAGATCTCCCGGAAGGAGGAGCTGACAGATGGGAACTGGTGAGTAAAGTAGACAGCAGGAATAGCCAACTTGGTACCCACCAGACTAGCAGTTCCCACCGTTATCCCCCGACCATCAGTCATGCAAGTTGGGGCTCATGGGGGTCGGGAGCCTTAACAGCAACTTCCAAATCTGGTGGGCACCAAGTTGGCTAACCCCTCTTCCACTGTGAGCGTCAAGTTGCCGAGACAGAAACAGAAAGTTCTTCAAGCTGTCAGTGGTTGGCTGGCTGGCAGGGCCAAAATACCTAGCGCCGGTGCTTTCCGAAGTTCCAAAATCTTGCCTTTCAAATTCGAAGCGGCAAACACAACTCCAGGTCCTCATTTGTATGGGACAGTCCTGGCACCAGGGGTTTCGATCAACTCCGACAAAGAAACCCAGCAACTCATGGATTTATTTTTTTTCTCGTTTTCACTTATTGATGAGGTTAAGTGGGGCCCGCTTTCCTCCCGCCACCCCTTTAACTTCCCCCAAGTGAAAGGAAGAGGGGGTAAAACACACATACACACACACACACACACCCATCAAGTCAAGGCACTGGAGGAAACTGGATTCAGACTTGGAATGGCTGGACAGGAATGGAAGCAGGGGGCTGTTCACAATAACCATGTCACTTCCCAGCTGGGCCACAGAAAATGTTTCTATGCCCAAAAAACCACAGCAGGTAGATGATGGCTTAGCAAAAAAACAACAGGAGGAGGAGGAGGAAGGAACCGGGGCTCCCCACCAAAGGAACGTCACGCCAAATAAATAAGCATCTGACCACCAGAAGAAACAACCCCCCGTACCCGGCGTGACATCAAAACGCCAATCCAGTCCTGGCGCATGAAGGTCGGTCCAGAGGTCCACCAAACTCCCAATACTGAAAGGCGTAACAAGAGGAAGCCATTACGGACGGCTTCAAACACTGTTCACTCGCTGCCAGTCTTCTGCAGCCCTCACTGGTGAATAGGGACAGTCCTTGTGTAAACAGAGCAGAGCTCATTGGTCTCTTTTGTCTTGGGGGTCAGGGGCTGCATGCCAGACCCCCTGTCTAGTCGGGGTGGGCAGCGTCCCTGCCACAGGCCTCGGATTTCATAGGTCGTCCACCCAGGGGCAGGAACTCAGCTATCAGCAGGAATAACGAGTATGTCAGCCTGTCGTCGCAGGAGAAACCGAGATACGTCCATCCTTTCTGCGATGGCCCGCCCCATTACTGCTGTCCAGAGGCCACCAGAGTCACAGGCTCGTGCCGGCTTTGGGGACTGTGGGCTGCTGGGCTTTGCGTCCGCCTTGCTCCAAGAAGGCAAGGAGCCAAGGATGGGCCAAGATCTGCTCCAGGGAAGGCCGGTTCTCTGGGGCCAGCGAGAGGCACCACTCAATCAGGTGACGGCAGTCTGTCAAAGCAGGAAAGAACCATTGTTATTACACCGCCTAATAGGAACACACAGGAAGTTGCACGGAGTTAAGGCATTGCTCAGGAAAGCTCAACTCTCCCTACACCGGGGGTTCCTAACCTGTTTCCACAACCACCAGGGACCACTTGGAAACTGCTGAGGGTCTTGGCACACCATTTGATGGTTTTTCTGCCTGCTGTAGTAGTTGTGATGTGCTTTGCGTTTTTATGGCTTTTTCATTTCTTAGATATTGTTGTACCATATCGGAACAGCATCAAACACAACATAAGAAACAAAAGAAGCAATACATACTTCGAGAAAATATAAACATTGAATGTGGTCGCACTGCAAATCACCTGAATGAAGCTCACGGACCACAGTTTTTGAACCCGTGGGCCAGTGTTCGAAATTAGCCAGGCGTATTTTGCACCTGGCTATTGGCCACTTGCGACCAAGTGAAGGTGCCCTGGCCCCAGGACGGTGCCTGACATCTCCACCGTCTGGAGGTGCACGCCTGGGGGTCATTAGATCCTGACTGTTTCCGCACACTAATAACACATCCTGTAGAATCCTGTCCGTTATATTTTATCGGCACAATTGGAATGAATTTCAGGAACCAAAATGCTTTCCCTGTGCAGCCCAAGAAGGGGCAGCGAACGACGTTATAGCTAATTGCTGTAGCTCATCTTCAATTAACCCATCCCACTGCCCTGCTCACACAGCTGTGAAGTATATTGTTACGTTATGAATGGTCCGTGTCACCATTAAGAAAAAGAGGTAGGAATAGGCCAATATATATGTGGACTGTCCCTGGATCAAGTGACTTTTCTTGTTTAAAGTTCTCAAAGTTCTTAACCTGTAGCTCAAGGTTGCCATCAGAACTAGCCAGATGTTTTACTGATCAATCACAGTCACTCCCATCCTTTGAAATATAAGACTTTAGAGCCATCATGCCCAAAAACGGCAGCCAGACATTCTGCTTTGGTGACTGTTATTCTTGGTTTAAGGAGCCATTTGGTGCCTAAGCTTAGATATCTGAGTTTCTAACACTGCCTGTGGCCTAACTCTGGCTGCAGGCAGCTTTACAGAACTTCAGGAAGGATCCTTTCCCACAACACTCTACCTGGAGATTGAATCTGGGGCCTTCTGCCAGTGAGCTACAGCCCTTCCTCATATCATCAAATAAAAGAATTGCAGGAATAGCCCACGAGGTTCATCTAAGTCCAGTGTTCTCCATACTTGGGTCTCCAGCAGTTTTGGACTACAATTCCTATCATCCCTGACCATTGGGCTGCACTAGCTAGGAATGATGGGAGTTGTAAGGTAAAGGTAAAGGGACCCCTGACCATTAGGTCCAGTCATGGCTGACTCTGGGGTTGCGGAGCTCATCTCGCTTCATTGGCCGAGGGAGCCGGCGTACAGCTTCCAGGTCATGTGGCCAGCATGACTAAGCCGCTTCTGGCAAACCAGAGCAGTGCACGGAAACGCCGTTTACCTTCCCGCCGGAGCAGTACCTATTTATCTACTTGCACTTTGACGTGTTTTTTAACTGCTAGGTTGGCAGGAGCTGGGACCGAGCAACGGGAGCTCACCCCATCGCGGGGATTCGAACTGCCGACCTTCTGATCGGCAAGTCCTAGGTTCTGTGGTTTAACCCACAGCACCACCCGCGTCCCGATGGGAGTTGTAGTGGGGCTCAAACCCATGACTCTGAGATTAACAGCCTCATGATCTGCTGACTTGAGTTATGTTATCCCTGTCTTGCAAAGCACTTTGTGCCTTGCACCTCATTAAGAACTTATCCCAAAATGCCTGACAATTAGTCCTATTTTAAGAGATAAGAATAGGAGTCGGAAGATTATTAGTTTCCCTAAGGGTATTCAGGATATTATTTACAGTAGAGCACAGTCTATTCAATTCAACAATGCTCATTTCAACTGAACGAAGCAGGAAGTGCTATGCAGATGGAGCAGACTTCAATCAGCTTTTACGAGGTAGGCCAATCCGCCCAAGGGTAGTATCCTGTCACATGAGCCTACCAACTCTCCATAGACCAAACCACTGTGGCACTCCAGGGCTCAGTGACAAATTAAGTACAAAGGAGTTGCCAAATTCAAGAAGCATACATTAAGAATTCTTAAGGAACCTAGGGGTGAAATTGCTGGTCTAACAAAAATAAGCATCTTCACTGGAAAAAAAGAAAGAAAAAGAAAATTTGTCCTATAGATCAGGGGCCAGCAAACTTTTTCAGGAGGGGTGCAGAGCTGCTGGCTGCCGCCGCTTCTCCCGCTCAGCTCATGGCCATACACAGCCGCCTCAGCGGGAAGGAAGGGGCGTCGCTCAGAGGCGTCTGCGGTTTTGGATTGGCTGCAGGAACTTCCTACAGCCAATCCAGTGCCGCGGAAGTCAGCCACCGCACAGGTTTAGGGACTGACTGAGCGGGCGGCAGGGTCCACGGGCTGGATTTACGAGCCCGGTGGGCTGCATCCAACCCCCGGGCCGTAGTTTGGCGACCCCTGCTAAAGATAGTCCACAGAATGCCAAAGTTAATTAGCCTAACATCTATCTCAAGGTAAACTTGCAAATATCCACTGGCCTGGGTCTAGGACAGCGTCCGTACCTGAGGATACCCTGCAGTGGTAGTGGAGTTTCCCAAGGAGGATATCTTCATCGCGCTCGAAAGGGATGTCCCCGCACACCATGTCATAGAGCAGCACTCCCAAGGACCACACAGTGGCAGACACGCCATGGTACCGGTGGTATTTTATCCACTCAGGAGGGCTGTATACCCGGGTGCCTGTAAGAATGGAAAGGAGCCGGTGAAAACATACCTGGAGAGGCGCCAAAGGAAAAAGAGCTACCAAATCCGTCCCAGGTTGCCCCTTCCTCACCCATGCTGAGCAGGACCACCACCATTGCCTAAATTTCAAGAACCAAATATGAAATGTTTGTGTTATTTATTAAATCTATATCCCACAATTTCTTCCCAAAGAAGCCTAGGGCAGCAGCTTCCCCCATATATGAGACTTCCATGATGAATTGGCACTGGCGTACTGCTGCTCCAGCTTCAGTCTCCCGTCCTCCCATCTGTAAAATGGGGCGTTTTCTCCACAGTCTTATTTACTTAAAAGCATTTTTATGCTTACAAAGCACCAATAATAAGAAATTTTTGCAACGTAAAAGGCAAGACACAAGCAGAATGAGAGATCGGAAGAGAGGGCTTTTTGAGGGGATAAGTGAAATTGCGGGTCGTGTCTCAGAATAAAAACCCACTGAAATTAACAGACAGGGTCTCATTTATTTCAGCAGATCCACTCTGAGTTGGAAACATCCTCAAGATTATAAATGATCCTCCATAAATAAACAAATGCCCCGAGAGAGAATTGATTTCTGTGCAACAACATTCCATCGTACAAACCTTTACCTGCATTTTGAGGTATTGCAACGTGAAATCAGGTTTACAGGCCAGTGACATCTAGGCCAATGACCTTAGGGCGCACACACAAGAGAACACCAATACAGATGAGGCAATCTGGAGCAACTGCGCATACAAACATTACCAGCTAACAATTACCACTGACCAACTGGAATTTCTTCTCCGTGTAAACACTGGGGGTGTATGGGTGTGAGAGTGTAAACCAGGATGGCTACACTGAATTAAGGACTAACTCATCCAACGTGACAGGCAATAAGAGTGTACACCTTCAGGCCAAAAATTAAGCTGCCGCAAGACTTTATTTTGCAACCTGTGTTTATCCAAAAGATGCAACAATGGCAACAATTCTCAGCAAGAAAAAGGCCGGTCAACCTATGAACAGAGCAGACCGTTTAGGCCTTTAGCATACTTTACAAACGCTCAGAAGACAACTCCCAGATCTATACTTTGTGCCCCCCCCCCCTTTGGTCAAATACAAAAAGCACAACCCAAAGCCTCTGATTTTACATTGGCAATGGCCCATAATGTGCTTTGCTATGTGGAAACCGGACGCGGGGACACACTGAATTGCTCAAACCTCCACATAACAACTTCCTGTACCTCTCATAGGGAGACTGCAGCACATTTTCAGACAGTTCCTCCGACACTGGGGTGGGGAGGAAATATTTGTTCCCACCAATGGCCATATTCCTCTTGTCTGTGAGAGAAAGACGAAGCCAGCAGTGGGCGGGGCTGTCCCCTTCCGCTCTTCCTTCCACCCCTTTTCTCTCTGCTGTCTCTCTTTCTGACATCTCCTCACCTCACTCTCCTTCCCAGAAGCTGCTAGGAGGAAGAGACAATCAGCTGTTGCCAGATGTCTGAACTATGGTTCAGATTTAGGCCAAAGTCTGCAAAAAATATGGCTGAGGTTGACCGCCCCGCCCACCAACACTGATTTGTCTTCCTAGCTTGTTTCCTTCCTGGGTGCTTCTCTGCAAAACCAAAAAAACCTGCCACCTTTTGCACCAGGACCACTCAATCCCATGCAGCCGTCAACCTGGTAGCCCACCAGATGTTTTGAACCACACTTAAAAAAACACTTTATTTAAGGTAGATAAGGACAAGATGAAATTATACAATTGAATATAAATATAGATGGGAAACGGCTATGTATTGTGAGTACTTATCTACTTTTAAAAAATTTCACCTATGATCCTTCTCTTTTACTTCTTTATTTTTTCTTTGTTCTTTTTTTTCTTTTTTCTGATATCTTATCTTTCACTTCACTCCTTTATTGTGAATAGCATTTTATAGAGGTATAAATAACTGTAAATATTAAAAGAGACAAAATACTCTCTAATTTTTTTCCCTTGGTTTATGTATTTTCTTTTTCTTTTGTATTTTCTTTCTGTAAATATGTATGTTTTCTTATTTGTACTCTACACACACACACACACACACACATATATATGAACCACAAGCCCAAAGGTTGGCAACAGTTTGCTGACATCGACAACAGTGTAGCTGCTGTCGAATCTTTCGGCCCTCCCTGGAGATGTCGGAACTTGAACCCAGGACCCTTTTGCAAGCAAAGCGTGTGTGCCCTGTCGCCGAGTGGTGGTCTCTGGCATTCTTTCTCTCTCACACACACACACTCACCATCAAAATCTGTATAGGGAGCATCCCGAAGCAACGCCCCCGAGCCAAAGTCTATGAGCTTTAGGTCTCCCTGCAGGAGGTCAACCAGAATGTTCTCATCCTTGATGTCTCGGTGCAAAACACCGCAGAGGTGGCAGTGGCGCACGGCCTCCACCACTTGCCGGAAGTAGCTGGCGGCCAGGCTTTCAGGGAGCGGACCCCTGTCGGTGATGACGTCAAACAGGTCCTGGGAGACGAGGGGGCGCTCCATCACGATGAAGTACGCGTCAGGCTGCTCAAACCAATCCAGGAGGCGGATGACACCTCGGCAGCCCGAGGAAGACACCTTCTTCAGCAGTACCACTTCCAGCGGGACCAGGGTGCCGTTCTGGAGAAGGAAGGAAGGAAGGAAGGAAGGAAGGAAAGAGAGAGAAAGGGAGACAGGCATGAGAGCAACCTCTGGCACCGCCGCTCAACGAGTCAGGCGGCCTCAACGGGAAGAGAAATGGCGCAACAGAGCAGCAACTCACCATGTGCTGGAATTGCAAGACTCTGTCTTTGGCGACATATTTGATGGCCACCTGCAAAAGGAGGGAAGGAGAAGGCTGTTAGGAGGCAAAGCCTACTGCAGAATTCACAGCACTGTTTTGGATCCACCTTTAGCACGAACCCCATTTCACCATGCAGGGAGATAAGCACGGCTGTTGTGACCTGTCTCGGATCAGGCTGCAAGCCTGGGGGAAGTGCCAAGTTTCCCCCCCTAAACTGATTTTTGAATTCTGAATTTATTGTTATTCACGTTCTATACTGTATTTTATGCTGCTTTTGTTGCATCAATTAAGTGTTTTAAATTTGTTGTTAGCTGCCCTGAGCCCGGTTTTCTGAACCGGGAAGGGCAGGGTATAAATAATTTATTATTATTATTATTATTATGATGACGTGGCATTCTTGGGCAACTGCCAGGGGTTCGGCACCAACACCTGCCTTGGGCTCCCTTCAGATTTGTTTACAGTGGTACCTCGGGTTAAGTACTTAATTCATTCCGGAGGTCCGTTCTTAACCTGAAACTGTTCTTAACCTGAAGCACCACTTTAGCTAATGGGGCCTCCCCCGGCGCTGCGCAATTTCTGTTCTCATCCTGAAGCAAAGTTCTTAACCTGAGGTACTATTTCTGGGTTAGCGGAGTCTGTAACCTGAAGTGTATGTAACCCGAGGTACCACTGTATTTCTTTATTTCCAACTCGGTGCTCCAAGCAGCACTGGGCAGCCAAGCCCAGCTGCCATTTCCCCACGATACCCCAGAGAGGAATGATTTATATGGCAGCCAGACCCAGCTGCCGGCCATGCTGCCACCAGGGGGCGCTTCACTCAGGACCCCATTCAAACTTGAAGCCAGCCCTGCTGCAAACCAGATCCAGCAACTTTGCACAAAGGAAAGGCATCTTCCGCAAGCTATGCAAGGATTCCAAACCATGGCAGGTTGCTGAAGCTTCAAGTTTATATATAATCAAGTTTATCAAAGAGGCCTGCTTGGTACCTGTCTAATGCAGAGTTTCTCACAAATATTTTAACGGCATGCAAACCAGAATTTCAGCAAACTGAAATGCCTAAATTGAACAATGTGGTATTTTCTCATGGAGTTGTTCCATTTCTTTACTGAGCCTTACCAAAGGCTCTACAGAGAGAGGGTTGGTTATTCTTCAATTTCAGCACATGTCATCTTAAGCTTGAGATTGCTCTAACAGAAATACCCCTTATAATGTAAGATTCTGAAGGAAAGAGTGTACCACATTACTTGCTTCAATGCTCTGTTAGAAATAAGTAAGGTCTTAATGTCTCCTTGCTGGAAAAGTATACTGCCCCTCCCTACCCCCATCCCTTAGCAATAGTGAGAACTATTTGTTGGAAATAGTGGATTTTCTATTTATGGCTGCAAATGTACAGCCAGAGGGGTTGGGATTTACTTGACCGAGAGTTCTTAAAAGTGTAGATCCATGTTTCCCAGACTTGGGTGTCCAGCTGCTTTCGGACTACAACTTCCATCATCCCTAGCTAACAGGACCAATAAGGGTTGATGGGATTTGTAGTCCAAAAACAGCTGGAGACCCAAATTTGGGAAACACCGGTGTAGTAGCCATTCTGTCCCTTTGGGAATAAGAATACCTTTAAAACCCCACAATGGAGCTACACTCCCTTCCAAAGAGAAAGCCACCACAATTTCTCTTCTCGGGGCTTGTTTTATTCAAGCTTCAAAATAGCATACTGCCCCTCGCCTCAGTATCCAGTCCTAATGCTTTTGACTCTGCACCCCCAGAAGTTTTTGAAAAAATACAGAACCTGGGAATTTCCACACCTTCCCAACCCCTCCCTTCAGAACACCCAGGATTTTGCCCTCCGACGACTTAACACACCTGTAAGTCACACACAACCAATGCAACACGCATACATTTTGTAACTCAAGCACAGCCAATAGCAGATAAACAGGTGTGCATCATTATTTGCTGCAGCTGTGTATTATTAAACTACTACCGCTGCATTGATTTCCAAGTTCAGAACTCAGCATGGCTACTGCACATATATTAGACAGCAGTGATGCCTTCCTCGTCACGGGATGACTGTTGCTTGTGCTCGCTCTCTCCTTCCTTAATAATTATTACCAGGAAACCAGACTGATGAGCCACTGTGTGCTCCAAGCGCCTGAAGTGGAGCCAAAGGCTTAGCGAGCAGCACAGAGCATAGCGAGGAGTCCAGGCGCATCACTCATCCAGGACACTAACACACCCTCTGAGAGGCAGAACAGGGTGGAGAAAGGGAAACCCAGACGGATAACCTGGGATTCAAAGCAGCCAGCCCGCATGGCGTAGCCCCGAATTGGAGCAAGACTCACACCTCCCGCTCCCCTTTTGTTCGCTGCTGGCTTCTCTTTCTTCTCTCTCGCGCGGATCATTAATTCCACTCCAGCCCCCAGAATCGCACAACCCTAATACAGTGGTACCTCGGGTTACAGACGCTTCAGGTTTCAGACTCTGATAACCCAGAAATAGTACCTTGGGTTAAGAACTTTGCTTCAGGATGAGAACAGAAATCGCGCGGTGGCAGCGGGAGGCCCCATTAGCTAAAGTGGTCTTCAGGTTAAAAACAGTTTCAGGTTAAGAACGGACCTCCGGAACGAATTGAGTACTTAACCCGAGGTACCACTGTATACCATTTATTTCCATCTCTCCTAAAAGCCGCCGGTCGACTCCTGGTGGTGCATTTGGTCATTTCAGTGCATGTGTAGATATACGTATTATGTATATTTACGTGTGTGTTTGTGTGTGTGTCTCTATAATGTACATAATACGTGTATCTACACATGCACGCGCGACTGACATATAGAGAGACAGAGAAAAGACGCCGATCGGTCACTCACCGGGAGAGAATCGCTGAGCCGGGTCCCCGCGTAGACGGTGCCGAAACCGCCGCTCCCAATCAACGCTCCCAAGCGGTAGCGCGTCTCCAAGGTCGCCTTACCTGCGGGGGATGGAGAAAAGGAAAGCAGCGCATCAGCGTAGCGAGTTGTGCCGGGACCCGCCCAGCCAGCCAGACACCCACACCGGCTGCGGTTTGCTTGCAAACAACAACAACGAAAACCACCACGCTCGCTCCATTCACAAAAATCGCCCCACGTGCTCCTTGTTGTTACCCGCGGAGCGAGGCTCCTCTTCGGCGGCATCGGCGGCCGGCGGCCCTTCGGGACCCTGGTGGCAAATGGGGCCTTGAGCCAAGAGCATGGCCTGGTCAGTCGGTCACTCTCCGGCCAATATTGCCTCGCGTGCGCTTGTGTGTATGTGTGTGGCCGCTCCTCCCCCACCGCGTGCGCCTCGGAATTCCTTCGCTTTTACGAACGTTCCAACTCCACGCCGACCTTGGCCAATGGCGGGGCGAGCTGGAGGAAGCCGCGAAAAAGCCGAGCCAATCAGAAGAGGCGTGTGTGGGGGTAAAAGGAGGAGTTCTTTTCGGCCGCCGACAGGGCGAGGCTTTGAAACCGCCGAGGGAGAAGCGCGCACGGCAATGAAAACGGGGCGGGGTGCGCAGCAGGCAGGAGTCCTTTAAACGAATTGGAAAGGCAACGGCAGCCAATCGAGGAGAGGCGCGCGAGGACCCTTTACGCTTCTCCTCGCCGCCGCCGCTTGTTGACCCACGTGCGATATACTATTTTAAAGTTGGCGCTTGCAAAGTCCGCTAGCAAATGCTCTGCATCGACGCGCTCCCCGGACCCCACCCCGCATTTTTGCTGCCTGAGCCCAGCTCTTGGTAGCTTCGGGAGCTCTCCTGTCCTGGACATCAAACGCCATCGCTCAATCAGCCCTCTTTCGTCTTTCCGAAGTGTGGGCTGAGTTGCAACCAGCAACGGCTGTGAAGTAGGAGAAAAAGGTGGGGAAACCTTTCCTCGCCCTCCGCCTCCACTGATTCACGGGGCGAGAGGGACACTCTGCTCGCCTTCCAACTCTTTAATTAAATAGCAAGTGCCCCCATTGCTTCCAGTGTCCCACCCACCCACTTAAAAAAAATACCTGCAGTCTTAAAATACAGATTTGCTCTCCCCCCCCACTCCACTAGATTTGCTTGACCAGAGACCCTGAGTGTCCAGCAGAAGGCATAGAGTTTCTCCTGGCGCCCCCTTCATTGCCATGGTGGTACAAGTTTGTTTATTATTCATTTATTAAATGTCTATACTGCTGTTCATTTGAGGATCACAAGACAGTTTACAATATAAAAACACAAATATAAATACCGTAAAGGTAAATGGTAAAGGGACCCCTGAACGTTAGGTCCAGTCGCAAATAACTCTGGGGTTGCGGTGCTCATCTCGCTTTACTGGCCGAGGGAACCAGTGTTCAGCTTCTGGGTTATGTGGCCAGCATGACTAAGCCGCTTCTGGCGAACCAGAGCAGTGCACTGAAACTCCATTTGCCTTCCCACTGGAGTGGTACCTATTTATCTACTTGCACTTTGATGTGCTTTCAAACTGCTAGGTGGGCAGGAGCTGGGACCGAGCAACGGGAGCTCACCCCGTCGCAGGGATTTGAACCGCTGACCTTCTGATCAGCAAGCCCTAGGCTCAGTGGTTTAGACCACAGCGCCACCCTCGTCCCTATAAATACCATAGTGTCAAACAAAATCAATAACCCACACACAGTTTAAAAGACAATGGATTGATAGCCCCAGGCCCGGTTATAGAGAAACGTTTTTGCCTGTAATGAAGGCATCCAGTGAGCCTCCCAGGGGAGAGCATTCCACAAGTGGGGAGCCACCGCAGAAAAGTCCCAGTCTTGTGTTGCCTCCCTCCAGGCCTCTCATGAAGGGGGCGCATGAAGAAGAGCCTCAAATGATAAGCACAGGGTCAGTTCAAACCTCAAGGACTGGGAAAGGCGGCCCTAGAGGTATTGCAGTCTTGTTGCGGTTCGTGGGACCTTTCCTGTTCTGCCCAGCTCTCCCTAATAAGGAGCACAGCAGCGCTCTCTCAAGGTCTGGACCCAACTACCTTAGCTGACCCAAAGTATTTCCTGCCACAAATTCAGACCAGCCGCTCAGCCATTCAGAACATATGTCAACAAAGACAAAAACTGCTGTTTTGCAAACCCACGGCACTAGCCAATGCACCCCCTTCTATGACACCACTTTTGCATTCTGGAAATGGAAGTGAAAATGCCCTGGCGTGTAACACACTCTTGGCTGCCTAGGTCAAAAGTTAGCCAAAACATATCACCAGCGGCCAGCCTCCAATGCTATAATAAAGGAACCCAGGCTTTGTATTTAGCTACATATATCATTGCATAGCAGGGGTTCGCCACATCTTCCTTTTACTAATATTATAGGATCGGCCTCAATGCATAACTGCCACCAGTGCACGGACTTGGGGCTGATCAATCCGAGCACACGTTGCGTATTCTCAGCCATAAATCCTTTCCTCTTTCAAGTAGGGCGTGAGCCAGCTACGGAAATGACTAACAACAACAACCCCATTGACTCAACAAAGCAAGGAGTACGTTGCAGCCGAGCAGATACCCCCAAATCAGTGTAAATCATCCAGCGACACACCAGATGACCACATCACCTTTTCCATCACAGCAGAACAAGTTTCACTTTCCCGCAAAGGCGGGCTTCCAAATGATAAGCCAAGCCTTGTCATATCTATCTAAGCTCCTTTGGAATGCCAGAAATGTCCCTGGAGACAGGGAGGAATAGCCACAAACGCTTTGATACGGGACTGCCCACGTCACAGAGCACAGCAGCAAGGCGATGTTTGCTCAGCCCCAAGAGAGGGCTAGTCTGTGGGTTTGGTGATGGGAGGGGGCGCCTTGACGGGACAGGAGTTTGCCGCACCAGATTCCCAGGAAACATGCCGTTTCCCGCCTGCTGGGCAGAAAAACAGGCACCTTTGTTGTTTGTGTACCTTTGTGGGAGACAACACAAGCACAGCCACGTGGGATAAAGCTGCGAGGCGAAAGTCCTAAAGCATCATTCCAAAAATAAATCACTGGGAACAGCCCAGAGGGATGCAAAATACGACGACACACTAGTGTGTTTCTTCCTCATGGGCAAGCAGTCATTGAGCAGAAGAGGAAAGGATCATGCCAATGTATTCCCCCCACACACACACTCTCAGTTACGCTAAAGGTAGCTCAGATTTTCAGTCATCTCCCTGTGTCAATAAAACAAAGGAGAATCCCATTTACTATAGGTAAAGGGGCTGGGGATGTCACACAGGCCTGGCCCTACCATTAGGCAGAGTGAGGTAACTCCCTCAGGCAGCAGAAAGTCTTGTGGGGGGAGTGTCCCCCTAAGAAAGCCTCAGGGAAGGTGGATGGTGTTGTCCGGGGACAGGTGGTGAGTTTGACCAGCCTGTGTGTGTGTGTGTGTGTGTGTGTGTAGGTGTGCCATGTCCCTTGCCTCAGGCAGCAAAGTGTCTTGGGCCGGCCCTGTTATTGCATGTGCAGCTGAGTGACGGAAAAGGCAGAGAGCTGAGAAAGGCCTCCTTTAAACCTTGCCTCTGCTACGAACTCACCGATGCAGATAACATTACTGGCCTATCTTACAGGGTCGTTGTAACAATAAAGGAGGCCATTATGTGAAATACGTTGAAAGAGCAGCAATGGAGAAGAGGTCAATTATTTTCAAGGGTGACACTCTTTCTGGTCAGCAAAGCCTGCGGACCCAGCCAGCAGACTGCTTATTCTTTTTTTTAAACAGCTGTTGTGACACAAAGGAGTCCACTCTGGGATGGTTTCAAGGCCATGTGCAGAAAACAAGCCAAGTTTCTTCTCTCCCTCCCCCCCTCAACTCAGTGGACACCAATGGGTGTTTAATTTGCGTACACCTTTATCTCCCACATTTCCTGCAGAGAAACTCAAAGGCCACCTTGCGTGGCTCACTCCCTCACCTCCATCTTTCCCTCTTAGCAACACCAGTCCTGTAAAAAGTAGGTTAGGCAGAGCAACGGTGACTGGTTCACAGTCACCCAGTGAGTGTCACGCCGAACTGGTTTGCCAGGGGTGGGGAACCTGTTGCCTTTTGGATGCTGTTCAACTACTGCCAGTCCTAACCAGTATAGCTAAGGGTTTTGTGGACGGTGGGAGTTGCAAGTCCAACGGTGAGCAACAGGTTTTGGGGGGGGGTGGGGAATGAAGATTTAAACGCAGCAGCAAAGGAACGCAGAAAACCAGCCGCCGCCTGCAGAGGTCAGCACTGAGCGGCAACTCGGCTGCTCCCCTCGTCGCACTTGGCAACAGGCAACCGAATGGAAATCTCCCGGAGAAGAGTTTCTCAAGAGCCGCGCGCCCCCTCCCACAGGCCAAGGAAATAACCGCTCCAACTTCTGCAAATGTACGACACACTGACAGAATCATAGAAGCTGCAAGGGGCCACCGGGGTCATCCATCCCAACCCCCTGCAATGCGGGAATCTTTTAGCCCAAGATTTGGCTTCCATCGTTAATTCGCATTCATAGCAAGCGGATCAAAGAAAAGGAGCGGCCCCGGGAGCGGCTTTAAAGCATTTGGCGCGGGGACGCGTCGTCGCTCCACGGATCCCCAGCGCTGACTAAAAGCAATCTGATCGCAGACTCGTGTCAACGATCCGGCCACGCACTGCAGCCTCCGATCAGAGAGGGGATGTCACCTTCCGCGGGACGGCTATTCATTCGATCTCCCTGTCGCTCATTCGGAGGAGCGCAAGGAGTTAGGGAACCTCTCGTAGAAAACTCTCAGCAAATTAAGTTTGCACGAGGCTGCGAGAATTAAACCGATAATGCAAAGCCAATATAAGCTTGTGCAGCTAAGAACTATCCCCCCCTTTTTTATTTTGGTGGGCTCTCAGAAGTTTTGACACTGGGCAGCGTGAGGATCCCCAGAGGGCAAAGACGAGTCAGACCCCATTGCAAGCAGAGGGATCCACTCTGACCCCGACTCTTATCAAGCCGCGGTGGGTCCTTGCAGACCTCGGAGGCGGCGCCCTCTCGCAGCTCCCGCGCGTCCGCCCCAGTCTCCCCCCAACTGCGCCTCCGCCGCGGTCGCGGAGCAACTCACCCTGCGCCGGCTCGTCTTTGGGGAACGCCGCCGAGCTGAGCATGCTGCAGCGGTGCACGTTGGGAGGGTAAAGCACCTGCACCGAGGACATCGCGGCCGCGACTCGGGCCAAGCCAGGGAAAAGTTGCGAAGAAGTTGCAGCAGAAGCGCAGCTCCGACGACACCGGAGCCGCAACCTGAATCCCGGGGGAAGCCTCTCGGGGTTGGAGACGGGCGGAGAGCCACGCCCACCGCGGCCAAGCCACGCCCCTCCCCTCTGATACAGCCACGCCCCATTCTCCTCCCACTCCCGAGCTCCGCCCTGCTGGGCGGGCTTGGCCAGGCTATTGGTCACTCTGGCTGTCAGCAACGTGAGACGGGCAGGCTGCGCGCTTCGCTTGCAAGCACTGTCAGAGGCATCTGCGCTAGTGGAAGCGGATTCTTCAGAAAGTAGCAGCAGCCTCGATCGCACGTGGAAACGGCGCAAAAGAATATCTCGCCTGCCAGAGTTCGCCAAACACGAGTTAAAAATAAGACCCTTGTGGCACTTAAGAAACTCAACTTTATGATGGGTTAAGCCGACCCGGATAGACTTCATCAGTTGCGTGAAATAAAATCCCGGACTAATGACTCCTGAGAGGCAGCGTGGTGTAGTGGTTAGAGCAGGGGGGTCAGCAAACTTTTTTCAGCAGGGGATTGGTCCACCGTCCCGCATACTATGTGGTGGGCCAGACTATATTTTGAAAAGAAAAAAAAAGAACGAATTCCTATGCCCCACAAATAACCCTGAGATGCATTTTAAATAAAAGGACACCTTCTACTCATGTAAAAACACGCTGATTCCTAGACCGTCCGCGGGCTGGATTGAGAAGGCAATTGGGCCACATCCAGCCCCCAGGCCTTAGGTTGCCTACCCCTGGGTTAGAGTGTCAGGCTAGGAACTGGGAGACCAGGGTTTGAATCCCTTTTCAGAGGCAAAGATCGTTGGGTGGACTTGGGCCAGTCTTGCTCTCTCAGCTTAACCACCTCATTAAAAATATTTTTAAAAAATACTGTGAAAATAAGAAACCATGGCTGGTTTCTGCTGGCATCCAAGACTGGCCATGGGTGAAGCAAGAACCTTGTAATACTATAAGCCCCTCCATCAGAGACTCGGGTTGTATATATATGTGCAAATAAACCATATATCATAATGACACCACCGTCTCCAGTGTGCCGCATTTCCAAAGGAAACACAAAGCCTGGACCCCTGGACTTTCACACCACTTTGGAATTGGGTTGGTGAGTGACAATATTTAACCAGTACTAGGACTCAGTTCTAATACTGCAAGTATTGCCAATTAGCTGTGTCATCCTTAGGAAAATTATAAGTATGCTTCTGTTCTGGCTGGTCATTACAAGAAACCTATAACCAAGAAGCACTGCCTTCTTTTTCCTCCTCACTCCCAATCCCTTTTCCTTTTGTGTTATCACTGACCTTGCTGGGGTGGGGCGGCGGCTAAAGAGTGAGCTAAAAATGCTGATAGCAGTGAATCAGAGCCCTTATTGGGCTGCTTGCCATCACAGCAGGTTTGTGAAGTAGGAAAGGGCTTGCCCATGGCTACCCAGCAGACAGAACTTATTGGTGGCGGCCCCACAGTTAAAGCCTGATCATCTACAGTGTGGGGGGGAAGTATTTGATCCCCTGCTAAATTTGCCCGTTTGCCCTCTGACGAAGAAATGACCAGTCCATAATTTTAATGGTAGGTTTATTGTAGCTGTGAGAGACAGAATAACAACAGGCAAACAGGCAAATTTAGCAGGGGATCAAATACTTTCCCCCCTCACTGTACTAACTAGAGACATTGTAAATCTTTCCTATCATAACTGGATCCTGATGAGTAAGAATAAACTGTTCATTGTGCATTAGGCATTTTTATATTGATTATTTAACAACAACAACAACATTTATTAATTGCTTCTCATGAGGCACCTCAAAGCAATTTACAATACGAAGGAAGCATATATAAAACAGCTGCCTATATAAAAACAGTGAAAACAATTGTGTATCTAACATTATTCTATGTTCTATGTTTTTATTAAATAATAATAATGTTATTATTTATATTATTTATTTAAAAGCAACAATGAGTACATATAAAACAATTAAAACAACAACAATTTGGTATACAGTTTGGTATACAGTGGTACCTCGGGTTACATACACTTCAGGTTACATACGCTTCAGGTTACAGACTCCGCTAACCCAGAAATAGTGCTTCAGGTTAAGAACTTTGCTTCAGGATGAGAACAGAAATCGCGCGGCGGCGGCGTGGCAGCAGCGGGAGGCCCCGTTAGCTAAAGTGGTGTTTCAGGTTAAGAACAGTTTCAGGTTAAGAACGGACCTCCGGAACGAATTAAGTACTTAACCCAAGGTACCACTGTATTATATTATTAGAGGGAAATTATAGTTTATATAATTAGCTTTCCCAACATGAGCTTCCAAAGTGGACTGGACTACAAATCAAACACACACGCATACAGAGGACCACATTATAAATTGTATAGGTACCCCACAAGCCCTCATAATAGACGGTTAATACAATATGGTTAATCATTACGCATTATGAAGCAGCTCCCTGATGTCATGCTAGCAGAGCAAAGCAGCAGCTAAGGCCCTGTTTACTGAGCTATAACCAGAGCTACTCACTATCACATGGCAACCGCGAAGGGCTCTCAGAGTGTCTAAGCTGCCGGGCCGGAGCAAACTGTCCATTCTCTTTCCGTATGGCAGCATGTGATGTTCTTTAACTAGAACTCTGCTGCCCCTGGGCCAGCAATTGACTTTGGATAAAGCAAATTGCATTATTTTCCACAAGAATTTGCTTTCTCCGGGATCTTGCCTACTGCACTAACTGTAGTTAGATGCTCGAGAGAAGGGTGTAATATCCATATGGTTATGCCTACTCTTCTCCAAGTGATGAGAAGTTCCAGGTTCGCAGCACTTACCTGGGCTTGGTTTCCTACAGAAGGAGGTCTCAGGAGGCTTATTGGCATTTTGCTATATTTGCATTAATTTACAGAGATACGGGTTGAGCATAGATGGAGGCACAGTTTATATTGCTTAGCAACTGGCTATGAGTCCTTAACAAAAACAGGACCTCCATGTCTGTCTTATAAGCCTTATAAACATTGCCTCCGCAGTTTGCTTTCTAACTTTCTTTATAGCTGTCCAATTGGTTTGCTTTCGAAAGCTAAGAGTCCAGCCCCAACTGGGGGGGGGGGGGAGAGAGCATGAGCGTGAAAATGAACCAGAAGTCATTCAAACTTCTACACCTGTATGAATTTAATTCATAATTTGCTCACTTGGCAATTATGATTACCACTTTCAGGTGTAATTTACAGATTTTTTGATTAGTTCAGTGAACTTCATTCAGCCAAACTAGCTCCTTCCAAGCACTGTGCATGTCCCACACCTTTCTGCTGAAATCCTGTAACTTTTTTGTACCACAAACACTGAGGTCGCAGGTGTGATCCCTTTATGGAATGGCTGAATATTCCTGCACTGCAGGGGGTTGGACTAGATGATCCTCAGGGTCCCTTCCATCTCTATAATTTTATGATTCTGTGAAATGTTCTGAGTATTTTTGTGTTTGTGTGTCCTGCTATTTTGCTCAATAGTTAGACTTGCCATATTTCAAAAAGTGAAAATCTGGACACAATAGTTGCTGAGCTCTTCTTCTTTTTTTAAATCACAAAAAGTGAGTTTTTAAAGCTATTTTTTACAAAATCAACACTTTCCCGTATATTTTTGCAATTTACCCTGCATGCTGTTTACAGGGGCTATGTCCGGGAAATTCCATATGAATGGCAACCCTACTCTAGTGCAAGAGTGTCTCTCCAGATGGTAGTAAAAGGGAAACACCACAGAACAAGTAATAAATGGTATGTGGACCACCCAGTATAATTCCACCACCGTTATTGCATCAATAATATTGCATCAATCACCTGCTGCAGAATACATCATCAGAAAAACAAAACAAAACCCAATCCAGTCTGGAGAGGCCAAATTCAGCTCACTGGGTCTTTCTGAGTCTCAAAAATGGCAGTTTCTTTTCAGATACAGACACCTAGATGCCAGCATCCTTAGATGGGGTTGCGGGGTGTGTGTGTGTGTGTGTGTGTGTGTGTGTGTGTGGCATTCGCCTCTCTGTTTTTTTCCTACTCAGTTGGAAGGTCAGCTACTGAAAGCAATCAGCAACAGTGCTGGAACCTTCCCTAGAAGGGATATTGTCATGGAGAAGGACTTATCCTGTCTTGGGAGAGGTGAATCTGTCAATTGTGTTTTCTCTCAGTTCCTCATTTTTCTAACCTTATGTTAAGTTCCCCACATTTCCACCTCACTTTGTGATTTATATATTTATTTAAAAGCCACCATGCGTTTTAATGCAATTTTCTTCTGATACATTTGTATGCTATTTTGATTAATATACAGTGGTACCTCTGGATGTGAACAGGATCCATTCCAGAGCCCCGTTCGCATCCTGAAGCGAATGCGTGGGTCACAATTCGCTGCTTCTGCGCTTGTTTATGACGTCATTTTGAGCGTTTGCGCATGCGTGAGCGGCGAAACCCGGAAGTAACGCGTTCTGTTACTTCTGGGTTGCCGCGGAGCGCAACCCGCAAACGCTCAACCCGAAGCTACTTCAACCTGGGGTATGACTGTATATACATTTTTAGAAAACAGTTTCCCCATATATGCTGCATTTTTGTATGTTATATTCACTAACAAGTGCATTTTCATGTGTACTTTGCTATGGTATGCTGCGCTGGATACACGCCTGGAGAATTTCATTGCAAATTTTGAAAGGCAGCCGTGTTTCAGTTCTCGTACGGTTTTGGGGCTTGCAAATGAGCGAGGGTTCAGGTTTAATTGCAAACTGAATTGAATGTCTATCCCATCTCTAAATCCTGTGCCGCCACCAAACAAGCCTTTTCTAATGGTGGGAAAGAAATGTTGGCTCCCCACCTTGGGAGCCAACTCCTAGGGACCGTGGAGGGTTCGGTCCCAACAATAACATATTTGAGGGGCATTCCCATTCAAATGGGGTGTGCACACTGTGTCATGTGATCGATGATGCAGGGCCAAACTTACCTGGGTCCCCACATAATTTTATTCAAGTTGGCACTCCTGCTCCCCACCCCCGACCGATGTTAAAGAAGAAGCAGACTGACTTGGAAGAGGTATTGTTCCAAATATTCAGGTCCTAAGTCATTTAGGTTTTAAAGGGAAGCACCTTAAATTGGGCTCAGAAGCAGACAGGTAGCCAATGCAATTCTTTAAGGATTGGTGCAATATGATCTGCCC